TTCTCAGAGATGCTTTTCAGACTCTAAATGCACTTTAAATAAGCCAAATTTTTCTCCAAGTCCTAGAAAAGCAGCCCAAACAGAATGCGACCCAGCCTTTTGGCTCAAATATCTCCTGCCCGCTGCAGGCAATGAGCTCAGCGTGCCACCGCTCACACCCACAGCTAGCCAGGGCTGTGCGAGTGAGTCCCCAGCCCCTCGCCCTCCCGTCCCCTCTAGCTGTCCGGAGATGCTTGTCTGTGACTCCTACCCACGAGAATCACCCGAAAAAGAAGCTTCTCTTTTCCAGCAAAGCACACCAAGAATAGTTTCCCTTTTTAAGGGTATCTCTTCAGTCATTCTGCAGTAGGCAGTTGTCCCTTCACAAGACTAAAATGCAGCTAACGATAAAATGCCTGTCTCTGTGTGTATATATAATGTATAAAATGTAAGGAGAAAAGTAATCCTTTGCTGAGCCTATTATGTACTTAATCAGGTTTAAGTATTGTGCAATTCATTCATAGCTAGCCTAAAACTTACTATGCCAAATCACGTGCTCTGTCATCCATGTCTGAGAAATGATGGATTAAGTGACTTCACCTTTTGCATTTATAATGAGATGTATAAATAATAACTGTAACGAGCTGTAACTAACAGTCATTGCTTCAGCATCTAACCCTCCTCTGCGCTGCGTCTCCTGAACGTGCGAGTGCGGGGGGGACCGCGCTGCCCCAAGCCCACCACGCTTCTGCTTCGGGTGATAACCAGGCAGTCCTCTCACCCGCGTTCCTCCTGCCAGCTCTCTGCGGCTGCCCTGACTCCTGGAGAAGGCTTCCCTCCTGGTCTGCTATGGCTCCCTGGCTTCGTCCGGCACTGGGAGCTGCCTCCTGTGGGGATCCAGGAGTAGCCTGGTGGCTCTGCACCCCTCAGACGCCCCCCCGCTTCCCCCAGCAGTGTTTTCTCTTGCCTTCCGGCACCTCTAAAACCGTGCCCTGAAGTAGGATCCGTTAAAACAGCTGAGGAGCTTGAAACCGCCTGCCCGCCCTTACGGGGCTCCCTTGCGTGGGCTTTTGCCCCTCCCACGGCGCC